GAAAGTGAGGGGGGGCAGCAGGTGTGAGCATGAGCAAAAATTTCCTGTTTTTAAAATATGTGTACACAGCAGATGTAGATAATGTGGGAGGGCTGTGGGTACACCCCCACCCCCACCCCCGCCCTCTTCATCTTTTCCCCAGAAGGCCACGCCCTCAAAAACCATATCGCCACACACCTATGCCCCAATTCCCGGACGCTTTCTAAACCTTTCTATGTGCCATTACCTTCAGATAGGATGCCTGTCCACCGTTTTTCAGTGACCCCCCAAGTGCCTGTATAGAGACTACGATGCACGGCGGCTGCACTAGAATACGAAATCGATCTCTTATGCGCGGCGCTGGACTGCTAATATAAGCTATATAATCTCTCTATATATATAGCAGCTGTGAGAGTCCCAGGGCTAATAAAAGGAATTGCGTGCACGGTTTGCCCGATGAGGCGGCGGCGAAATCCCACACATCACCTACTGTAATACACGCGTCAAGAGTCAGAGAAGGAGACAGCGAATCTACGATTATTAATATTATTATTATTGTGTGTGTGTGCCTGTGATGTGTGCGCGAGAGGGAAAGCCACATAATATACTACAACGACGTGCGCGGCAGAAAAAGCTACATACAACTCTCCCAAGAAAACGCGCAGCCTGCAGGCTCCTTTTGCCTATTATGTTCTTAAAAACCCCGACCATAACACTTACCGATGGCTTTACACACGGAGGGGCAGACAACTGCTGCACCGCGACGGCATCATTTCAAAACATATCGCCCTGTGCGGAGCATGATACAGTTGCATACAGGGAGTGAGAAAACCACTCAATTCGATGGTACGCGCGCACACAGAATATCCTTTTGGACGATCTCTACTAGCCACGACTTACTGGCCACGAGAGGCGGCGCTGCACTGGAATACTCCATCTTTTCCGCGCTTCTGAACTCTTAAGCTAATTTCTTAACCTCTGTAATAGCTACACATACATGTTGCGCTGAGTGCCAGGTCTTCTAAAAGGCACAGCGTGTGCGGTTTGTCCGATGCGGCGGCGAGATCCACCACACCTGCTATGTATCAGATACCTACGAAAAGATCTTTGAATGCATATATAATTATTGTCAAGCTATAATTGTTTGTTCGTGGATGTGGAACACCTCGCAAGCGATCGATAACGTGGGCCAGACCCTAATCCTGTCGAAAGTACGACAAACGACTTCATCTTGCCAAACAAATCCCAAGCGGTTTCATCATCAAGATACACTGCATATCAAATGCGCCATCCGTGATATATTTTGGAGTACAGCACAAAGAATGTCACGAGAGGCACTGCCAACGGATCAAACAACGGCTCGTACAACTGTAACGACGCAAATGCCAATCTGAGCATCCCGGGTTACGCCTTTGCTGTGTTACAATGGTATCGAGACGGGACCGCACGAATTCCGAAATAAACTTCGGGTCGGCGGTTCGATTCTGGCAACCAGCAAGTCGCAAATTGGCGATTTCATGGTGTAATGGATAAACCAGCGCACTGGCGCGAGGTGGGATGGCTCCTGTGCTCGAAATAATGGCCGAGGACGTCCATTGCTAAGTGGGGGGCAATGTAACGACGCAAATGCCAATCTGAGCATCCC